AGAACGGCAACCTTGAGCAATCTGTCAATGACATGTGTTCTCTGTCCGAGAAGGCATCTTCCCAGGCAAGCACAGGACGCAGGACAGGGGTTTCCTCTGTGTCTGTGCTAGCAGAACACACTGCCCATAGCGGGGCAGGTGCCAGTGATCTCCATGGGGGAGCAAAGGAACACAGAGCCTCAAAGCGCTGGACGGGAAGAGATCTGCTAGGAAAGTCAAATGCCCACGTCTTCATCTGCAAGTGCTTTTCTTCTCATGCTTTCAGATGTTCTTGGATTCACAGCACCATTCATTCAACAAACACTTCTGGAGCAGACATTACATGCCAACTGTATGCAGTGAACACATCAGAAATGTGCTCTGCCCCAGCCATTCACATAAAAAATAACAGAAAATGCAATTAGAAGATGTTGATTTTGTTGTACAAAATAGGCATTGTTCATGAGCTTTCTGAAGTATTCTCGTGTTAAGTTGATTTCTGCACATATTAACTACGGAAATCCTCTCTGAAAGCTGTTATCCCATTTCCTAGTTGAGAAACTGAGTCTTCACAAGATGTCCAGGTTTTCCATTTTTTCTGGAGTCACACTGCATCTATCAACCCAGGTACTGAAAACCAGAAGTCTCCTCTCTACTGCACCACCAAAGAGTGGCAGAAGGGACAATGTCCCTCTGTTTATGCACTGACCTGGTGGTTAATGACTGGGGGGAGGGAAGGCACAGCACTCTCTGGTTAAAACTCCAGCTTTAACTGGAGGGAAGGAGGGAAGGAGGGAGAGAAAAAAACAGAGAAGGGAGGCAGGGAGGCTGGACACAGATCCACATGCATTCCATTGGTTCCATGCACTGGAGCAGCTGGACTATGCATGAAGCAAACGCCAAGTACTTCACTGGGAAGTGTCAGGCAATCACAAAGCAGCAGAGAAACGTCTCCAGACATCCAGAGGACGTCTCCAGGGGGGTCTTATCCAGCTCTCTTTCTACTCCTTGGAAAACTGAGACCCAGAGAGGGCACGTGGCTGGCTTGTGGGCATGTGACAGTCAGTCAGAGCCACATTCCCAAGTCTTCATTCAATGCCCCATCCACAGAACCGCACTGTGGCTGCAGGAGTGACATTCATTTTAATTATGTAATTATGTGGATAAATGAGAATGAAAACTAACAGGGTTTTTGGGCATGTTTGTGTCAGGCTGTATGTGCAAGGCCCCTGTAAGCTCATGTCACTTAACCTTCTCCTGTGAGACAGGCATCGTTGTCCCCCTGGGCAGACAGGCCATGAGTCAGGGGATAAATCATTCCCCCAGTAAAAAGCTGCTGGTTTGAGATGGGGAAGGAACAGAAGGTCTCACTCTGCCGGCTCTCAGCCAGCAAGTGTAGATGTCAGAGACGCCTCTGGAAAGAACAGGGGGCCAGGGCAGAGGGGCCTGTGCTAAGGAGAGAGGCACAGGGCAGCCCTGCCTACACCTCCCTGCTCTCTGTCAAGCTAACCAGCTCACTTCTCTCTGGAGCCCTTGTTTTGCAAATGTCTCTGCAAGGAAAGGCTTATTTTGAAGGGGACACCTGTTCTCTAATCCTTCCAGCGGACTCTGCAATCTGTGCGGATGCCCACGTTGTTTGCTAATGCACTGGGCTTCTCGGGGATTTGGAGGCACAGCTCCCAGGGGAGGAGGGAGAGTGGATTTTGTTCCTTGCTTGGCAGCTCTTGCCTGGTGGGAAGGCACAGGGTGGGCACACAGCCCTGCATCCGCATAACTGGATGAGACCCAAGTGGAAAATGCACAGGAAAAGAATCGAGTCCTGAAAATAACCCATTGAGCTAAGCTCCATGAGCAGGTTCAGTGCTAAGCATCCAGAAATAAGGCATTCTATCTGATTCTTGTAAAAGACAGGGATGTCTGCTCTGACACACATCCCCCAAAATAGCCAAGAAAAGAAATGAAAAAGAAAGCCATGATACTGTTTGGTTAGGTCTATTTCTGCAAAGTTTTACACATACTCCTGGAACCCTCTGCTAGAGAGATGGATGCTACCCCATTTCACAGCTGAGAAAACTGAGTTTCCACAAGAGTGAATAGGTATCCCCGAGCTGAGTTACAGGCATCTGTCACAGCAGGCACTGGAAAGCGGTCTCCTGTCTACTGCACTGCAAAGTCCCAGAGGCACAGGCGAGGCCGAGTCACGGCTGGATGTCACCTGTAGCAGAGACTGCTGGTTGAGATGACCCACCATGGCCTCCCACAAGGCCTAGGGTTTCTGAACAGAGTCCCAAGGCAGCCCAAACAGCACCGGCTCATCAATGTAGAGGCCCCTCACTCCACAGCTCACCCCAATCTGGATTCTATCTGCTGCCACATAGAACAATGGCTGGATGGGGCCGGCACTGTGGCACGGAGGGTTAATGCCCTGGCCTGGGGCGATGGCATCCCATATGGGTGCCGGTTCGAGACCTGGCTGCTCCACTTCCCATCCAGCACTCTGCTGTGGCCTGGGAAAGCAGCAGAAGATGGCCCAAGTCCTTGGGCCCCTGCACCCACATGGGAGACTCAGAGGAGGCTCCTGGCTCCTGGCTTCTGATCAGCGCAGCCAATTGGGGAGCAAACTGGCAGATGGAGGACCTCTCTCTCTCTCTCTCTCTCTCTCTCTCTCTCTCTCTCTCTGCCTCTCCTCTCTCTGTGTAACTCTGACTTTCAAATAAATAAATAAATCTTAAAAAAAAAAGGCTGGCTTGTAGAGCTCTCTCGTCTTGCAGGTCTCGAAAGGATTATGCTTCACACAAGCTTGCATTCGTCATTCATCCAACACATGTTTCTTGGGCACTGTTTTTGTGTGCCAGGTATGTGAGCCCTTGGGATGTGAGACAGAATGAGAATGTCTCCATTTGCAGCTGCTTACCCAGCTGAGGGGAGGGCAGAAGCACCGAGCATTTGAGAGAAAGCGTCTCCTAGAAAATCAGAGAATGTGTCCATGGCGGGGGTGTCATCTGAGCAGGTGCTGGGGGACACATGGAGAGCTGCCCGTGGGCACTCCTTGGGGTGCGGCTCTCATGAGGAGCACTTTCCTATGCTTCTGGGGCACCAGCAGAAGCCCTCAGCTCAGGGGATTATGCGATGAAAATGTCCTAAATTCATTTGTGGCCATTGGCATTCTCTAAGGTCTCCTGCCACAAACCCTGGAAAACAGTCAGAGTGAAGATGTTTAGGTAACAGGCTCGTGGGACCAGCACATGGTGGTGGAGAGGGTCGGGAGACACAGGACTGTGATGTGGCCACTCCCGCTGACCCCTGGGGATCTAAACATCGTGATGGTACTGCAGATTCAGCCTCAATTCTCCCAGAAGGTTAGGAATCATGGGACCCCCCTGGGGGCATACTACCATGCCTATTGCAAGATGAGAGGTCTGTTCTAGTCCTTGGAGATGGACAGGGGACAGGCAGCCCCAGCCATCTGTCCTTGCCCATTCCCATGACAGCCCTGACACCATTCATGCAATGAGGGGCTACAGACATGGGCATTCCACACTGGCAGGTTCACTGCTTTCTGCTCACTTTCTCCACTCATTCAGTTGCTATTCTGCCAGGTGCTAAGCACACCAGATTCTTAGAAGCTTAGTGACTGTTTATAGTCCTCCATCTGTAAGTCACTAGAAGCCACTCTCAAACTAGTCCTATTTGGCTTTAAACTTTGCTCCTTGGAGTGCAACCCTGACCTGGCTCCAGGTCCCCCATCCCTAGGGAGGCTCTTGGCGGCACTCTTCTTTGCTCCTCAGAACTATGAGGACATGTGACACAGCAGTTTGACCAGAGAGACACGACTCAGGCTGTCTTTGCAGGCAGAACTCCTGGATGGCTCTCGGAGCTGGGAAAGGTGATGTCATGGGAGACCAAGCTGAGCATACGACCTGATATTCTGGAAGTCTGGGAACAGGGCCTGGCTACACAGGACACTAGAGCTCCTCTTTCAGGGACTAGCAGAGCATGGATAGCCACAGCAATTCATGCCATGGGCTGAGAGAGTGGACTTGACTGAGCCATGGGCTACCCAGATGTTTGGTTAAACCATTGGCTATCTCTGATCTCAGATATCAGTTTCCTCCTGCCTTTGGACTTGAACTTGGATTGCACTCACAGCATCCACTCTCCTGGGTATCCAGCTGCTGATGGCAGTTATTAGGACCTCTCACCTTCCTTATGATTATGTAAGCCAAGTCCAGTTTTTTATGATAAATCTCTTCCTACACACACACACACATACACACACACAAACACACAGGAGGGTGCTTCCAAAAGTTTCTGGGAAAATGGAATTAAAAGATGAGATTATTTTGGTGCAAAACATGTTTAGTATTCATAAACAGTCATTTCACAAAACACATTTTCCAAGAACGTTTTGAAGTCCCTACAGATATATGTCTCTTCCTGGTCCCATCGGTCTGGTGAACACTGAATATGACAGATTGGTTATTTCTGAGCAGACCACTAATAAAAGAACCATGTAATGCATCGGGATAAATAAGGCAAGGGAAATCATACTGTATGTGGCCACAAAGTAACAGCAGATCTTTCTCAGGAAGACACAAGGGTAAGGGCAGGACACCCATGCTGGGTGAAGAAGTTCATACCCATTACAGCAATGGATGCACAGAACACTACATGAGGGCATTAATTGTTAGGGCCCCACTCTACTGATGGGAATACTGATGCTCACAAGTCAGGTTCAATGCCAACATCCCTCCATGTATGCAGAGTCCCGAGAAACCCCTCATTCCAGGGAGTCAGCCTCCAAGGGGACCACAGACAACAGGCACCACGTGAAGACCATGATCCTTGTGTCTATCCCAGGCCTGACATTGGGAATATGCCTGCTGCATGGTGCAGGGGTAAGGTAGGGACGGCTGGGTGGTAGGAGAAGGAACACACAGATCAGGAGTCTCTGCAGGGGAAGTTCCAGCAGCAGGGATCTCAGAGAGCAGCGCCCTGCCCAGCGCACGTGCACACGTTACCTCGGAGGAGGCCGGCTTGCAGTATCCAGCCCCGAACACCAGGTTTTCCAGAGAAATGATAGACGGCTCTGGTCCAGTGTCTGGTCCACCTTTGCCAAGCCAGGAGCCCCTTCCTGGGCGAGTAAAGCTAAAGGAAGAAAATAGGAGAGGAAGAAAAAGGATACAATGAGAGGAGTGGTGCCTGGAGCTCAGGACCCTTGAGGGGTGTCCCTGGGGAGCCACTGAGAAGGAATAGTTCACCCCATGGGGGAACTTTGGGAAGAAACTGTTTGGATGTTGTGATGACCAAGGGGTGTACTGGGGCATAGGTTGGGGAAATGGAGACACACAGTGCACAATGCCTGCAGTAAAATGCCAACAGCCTGTAGAGAGGTACTGAGGCAGAGTTCCAAGCTTCATCAACCACGGGGCAAGTGGAATGGGCTCCTGGCTGGGACATGGCCTCGACCTTCTTGCTGCTGCTCATGGGGGTGCACCCTGGAGTGAGCTCCTTCACCCCCTCCCTGGGTCTATGTGTGTTCTCTGGAAGAGCACAGAACACCATCTACCTCCACGTTTCATGTAAGAATCTAACCGAATGTCAAAGGCTGCCATGATCAATAAAGCACTCACCACTCCAGTGCTGCCTGGGAATACTACAACCTATTCAAGTTCAACAGACAAGTACACAGATCCCTTCCAGCTCTGTGATTCACCATAAAGGCCAACCAACAAGGTCAGGTGGCCACTGCAAACCTTAGAGCAAAGGGAATTAGCAGAGCTGTGGATTATTTACATTTATATTATTTCGATTTATGATCATCTACTCTACCTTTCATTTTTTGGTTTTCATCAACTGGCATATCAGCAAAGTCTACTTATACTCATTTTTCTTTACTCTCAGACCTTTTCCATTAACTATCCTCACGGATAATTTTTTTTAAAGATTTATTCATTTATTTGGAGACAGAGGTCTTCCATCTGCTGGTTCACTCCCCAAATGGCCACAATGACCAAAGCTAGGCCAATCTGAAAACCAGGAGACAGGAGCTTCTTCTGGGTCTCCCATGTGGGTGCATGGACCCAAGCGACTTGGACCATCTTATCCTGCTTTTCCAGGTCACTAGCAAGGATCTGGATCAGAAGTGGAACAGCCAGGACTCAAACCGGCACCCATATTGGATGCAGGCACTGCAGGCAGCAGCTTTACCTACTATGCCAAAGCATTGGCCACAAGGCTAATTTTTTTTCATCAGAATAAAAATACTACTTTATTGGCCTGTTTTAAAGAGGGTCTTGGCAATAAATAGCTTCCAGGTACCATAATTTGCTGTGGCTGCACAAGAAAACACTGTGGAAAGTTTTAGAGCCAAGAGACTCAAAACCCTGCTTAAAACATAGAGAAAGCTCACATTCTATGTTTTCCCAAAGTAATCTTTTATTTAATGAGTACAAATTTCATAAGTACAACTTCAAGAATATAGTGATTCTTCCCACTATAACCGCCTTCCCACACCCACTCCTACCCCACCTCCATCAGCCTCTCCTATTCCCAGTCCCATTCTCCATTAAGGTTCATTTTCGATTAACTTTATACACAAAAGACCAACTCTATACTAAGTAATGATTTAACAATTTGCACACACACACACACAAAATATAAAAAACTGAGACCAAATTTTACAGTTAATTATCATAATACAACTTTTTAAGGACAGAGGTCCTGCATGGGAAGTAAGTGCACAGTGACTCCTGTTGTTAATTTGAAAACTAACACTATAATGTATGATGTCAGTGATCACCTGAGGCTCTTGACATGAGCTGCCAAGGCTATGGAAGCCTTCTGAGTCCAGTCTCTATCAGTATTTAGACAGGGCCATGAGCAAAGTGGAAGTTCTATCCTCCCTTCAGAGAAAAGTACATCCTTCTTTGATATACTTCTATCCACTGGGTTCTCACTCACAGAGATCCTTCATGTAGGACATCTTTTTTGCTACAGTGCCTTGGATTTCCATTCCTTAAGAGCTCTCATGGGTTCTTCAGCCAGACCAGAATGCCTTAAGGGCTGATTCTGAGGTAAGAGTCCTATTTAGATCAATTGTCATTCTATGAGTCTACTGTGTGGACTGCTTGCCATGTTGGAATATTCTCTCCTTTTTAATTCTATCTGTTATTATTAATAGACAGTTGATCTTATTTATATGACCCCTTTAACACTTAATCCTATCTATGTGGTCACTTTAAAACTTAAGAGGGCATTTTTCCACCCAGCTTAATGGGATTTGGAATCCCATGGCATGTTTTTATGAACTGTTTGCATAGAAGTAAGTCTGTAGGAATGTATGAAGAACTATACAGCAGGAGTTAAGTGTATGTGTGATCTCAGGTGTTAGGAAAAGAGTTGCAGATTGGTGCCTCCTCACACGGGACACCAAAATGTTAGGAAAAGAGTCACGGATTAGAAGGAGGCAGTACACGAATTTACAGCCAGACCGAATTTATTCAGAGAAAATAAATCCGCAGAGGTGGGTGACCAACTGCCTGTGTGTACAAGATGGAGGATGTGGCAGAAGGCCCTGACCCCCAGGGACTGGGCCTTTTTAAGGAGGGCTAGGGCAGGGATGGGGGGTAGGGGGCAGCAGGGAGGGGAATTCCAGGAACTGGGCGTGGGGCGGGGGGGTGCTTGGGAGCCTGGAAAATGATGCAGGGTGGGGCATGAAGGCAATAGGGTGTGAGACCCAATTAAGTTTCAACAGCAAGGAATACATTTCAAAGTTTATCTCCTTTGGGCAATGAGGGAGAATGGCTAAGGCTTGTGACCTTGTTCCATCAGTTACAAACTTCCTCCTCCCTGTCTTATTCCCACTCTTACTTTTTACTGAGATCTATTTTCAATTGACTTTATACAAATATGATTAACTCTAAGTAAAGAGTTCAACAAATAGTATTAAGAAGAAAAAAACACTGTTCCTCGACAGACAAGACAAGGGCTGTTCAAGTCATTGCTTCTCAAAGTGTCAATTTCACTTCTATGGATTTCCTTTTAGGTGCTCTATTAGTTCTCACAGATCAGGGAGAACATAATGGTATTGGTGCCTTTGGGACTGGCACCATATTCATCCATTTTCTTGCAAATATCTGGATTTCACTTTATTTTACCACCCTGTAGTATTCTGTAGAGTACATATCTCATAATTTCTTTATCCAGTCTTCAGTTGACAGGCATTTAGGTTGACTGCATATATTAGCTATTGTGAACTGAGCTGCAGTAAACATGGAGTTGCAGATAACTCTTTTATTTGCTGATTTTATTTTCCTTTGGTTAATTCCGAGGAGTGGGATGGCTGGGTCATATGGTAGATATGTTAGGAAACTGGTGCAGTTGGCCACATGGCCCAGCTACCTGAGCCAGGCTCCACCCCCATCCTAATGGGATTGGCTGCTCCTGCTTCCCTGCCCGCCCTCAGGCAAAGTTTTAAAAGGGTCTGTTCCTGAACACGTGCTTTCTTGGCCCTTCTCTCCTGCTCTCTTTCGGTTCCTCTCTCTAGCCTCCTCCTCTGGTCTCTTGGCTCTTGGTTCCTCTCTCTTGGTCCTTCTGTCCTGCTCTCTCTCGGTTCCTCTCTCTAGCCTCCTCCTCTGGTCTCTTGGCTCTGCTCTCCTCTCTCCTCTTCTCTGCTTTATCTTCTCTCCTTGCTAGCTCTTCTCCTCTCTGCCTCTCTCTCTTACAGTCTCCCTCCCTTTTTTTTCCTTCACTGCCCCTTCACTCCGGTCTGTAGGTTGTTCCCCAATAAACCCTTTCCCTTACTCCGGTGTCTGGTGTGCTTTGCAACGGCTAACAAGATATATATTCAGATTTCTGAGGTATCTCCAAACTATCTTCCATAGTGGTCTTACCAGTTTACATTCCCACCAACAGTGGATAGGGTAACTTTTTCCCCACATCCTCGAAGGCATTTGTTGTGTGTTGATTTCTGTATGAAAGGCATTCTAACTGGGGTGAGGTGAAACTTCATTGTGGTTTTGATTTACATTTTGATGTCTAAATACCCTGAACATTTTTACATATGTCTGTTGGCCATTTGGATGTCCTCTTTTGAAAAATATCTGTTTAAATCCTTTGCCCATTTCTTAACTGGTTTATTTGTTTTGTTGATGTGGAGTTTCTTGATCTCTTTATATATTAATCATTTTATAAGTGCATAGTTTGCAAATAATTTCTACCACTCTGGTGGTTCTCTCTTGACTTTCCTGAATGTTTCTTTTGCAGTACAGAAACTTCTCAATTTGAAGTAATCCCATTTGTTAATTTTGGCTTTGAATGTCTGTGCCACTGGGGTCTTTTCAAAGAACTCTTTGCCTGTGACTATATCTTGCAGGGTTTCTCCAATGTTCTCTAATAATTGGAAGGTGTAGGATCATAGATTTAGATCTTTATCCATGTTGAGTAGATTTTTGTATATGGTGTAAGGTAGGGGTCTTGCTTCATACTTCTGCATATGGAAATCCAGTTTTCCCAGCACCATTTGTTGAAGAGACTATCTTTGATCCAGAGATTGGTTTTAGCTCCTTGGTCAAATATAAGTTGGTTCTAGATGCTACAATTCATTTCAGGTATTTCTATTCTGTTCCATTGGTATATCCATCTGTTTTTGTACCAGTACCATGCTGATTTGATTATAACTGCCTTGTAGTATGTCTTTAAATCTGGTATTGTGATGTTTATAGCTTTGTTTTTGTTGTATAAGACTTCTTTAGATATTTGAGGTTTCCTGTGTTTCCAAATGAATTTCAGCATCATTTTTTTCTAGATCTGAGAAGAATGTCTTTGGTACTTTGATTGGTATTGCATTGAATTGTAAATTGCTTTCAGAAGAATGGACATTTTGATGATATTGATTCTTCAAATTCATGAACATGGACATTTTTATATTTTTTGTATATTCTTCTATTTCTTTCTCTTTTTTAAAAGATTTATTTATTTATTTGAAAGTCAGAGTTATACAGACAGATAAGGAAAGGCAGAGAGAGAGGGAGAGAGGTCTTCCATCCACTGGTTCACTCCCCAATTGGCCTCAATACCTGGAGTTGCGCCAATCTGAAGCTAGGAGCCAGAAAACTCCTCCAGGTCTCCTACGTGGGTGCAGGGGC